AACCCCCTCCCTTCCTGAGTCAAGGGGGCAAGGGGCAGCCCTCAGGCACTTGGGATGTGCATGGAGTAGCCCCCCCAAACCCAAGGAGGGGGCACAGAAACCATCAGTACTGGCCTGACCACCCCAAGGAGGGGAACAGACTCAGGAGGAAGCTTGGATGGAAGGAGCCTCGAATTGGGGGCCGGGGAGCCAGTGAGTGAAGGAGGGCTTGCATCTTGCTCCCCTAGCCTCAGAGCTGTCCTGGATGGCAGCTGGGGTGGGGCTGGGAGAGGAGGGAGGAGGGCAGCAGGGAGGACTGCCCAGCTGGAAGAGGCCTTGTCTAATTGTGCCTGATTAGTAGAAAGGAAGAGAACAGGGCGAGTGATTAATAGTCACGGCAGTCACCAGCGTGTGGGGAAGGCGGGCTGGGAGGGGGAGGGAGGCGGAGAGCCGAGGGGGGATGGAGACAGTGAAGCAGCCACAGGTCCCTGTCACCTGCCCCTCCAGGGGCTGCCTGGACCCCTGAGGACCCCACAGGAGGGGGTGGGTCCTACCCCTGCCTCCCCAAGGATTTTCCACCTCCTGCATGTCTCAAATTTCCAGACAATGGAATGGAGAAGACCAAGGTCATGTCCTGCACCTGGGAAGACAGGTGTTTCTACTCACGTGGTGTTTCCAGACACCTCGATGTCCCCAGACACAGGCCCTACCCTCAGCTCAGCCTGGGACCTCAGCCCGGAGAGTAGATGGCCAGACTTCCAAACACAGCCGACAGCCATCACCTTGCATCCCCTAATCCCAGTTGTAATTCCTAGCCCTGCACAATCTGGTGGGCTGAACCTCGTTCCTGGGACCCCCTAGAATTGCGCTGTCCAATACGGCAGCTACTAGCCACATAAAGCTACTGGAATTGAAAATTCACCTTCTCTGTCACGCTAATCCTGTTTCAGATGCTCAGGAGCCAGCGTGGCTAGTGACCACCATGTTGGGCAGTGCAGACAGAGAACATTTCCATCATCACAGAATGTTCTGTGGAACAGCACTGATCTTGTGTGTGTGTGCACACTCCTGCACATATGCACAGTGCGGGAATATCTGGGAGGGTTTGATGGCATGCGAATGCCATATTAAGGTAGGGGAGGGTGTGGTCCTGAGGGTGGAGAGAGTGGAAGGCTGGGTGATGGAGAGCAAGGGTGAAGTGAGGATGCCAGCGCATGGGTCAGAAAACAGCAGGTGCTGCTGGAAACGGTCAGGTTAAAGAGAGCCAAGAGTTGGGGTGATGGCATTTACAACAGCTGATACTTCCAGAGTGCACACTATGTGCGTGCCAGGCAGCGTGCTAAGCTCTTCACAGCCATCTCTTTAATCCTCACAACCACCCGAATTTTTGAGGTTCTAATATTCTATTTAATGAATTCAGAAGCTGACACAGAAGCTTTTTGACTTCTCCAAGGCCACGCGGCTTAAAGGGTAGAGCCAAGGTTTTATTCTAGACGGTCTGGCTCCAGAACCCACACACTTGACTGCTCCACCATCCAGTCCCCAGCCAAGAGGAGATGCTGAGTTTTGGAGCCACCCTTGCATTTTACAGCTCATGAAATGAAGCCTAGGGAGAAAGAGTGATTTCTGCCTTCGAGTAAGTGGGCAGGCTGAGAGCAAGCCACAGTGGGGAAAGTAGAGACGGGGCTTGGTGCACTGGGGTGGGGGGAGCGGATGGTGGTGGGAATCGGCCAGAAAGGGGGAGAATGTACAGGTGGTGGTGAGAGTAGGAGGTGGAGGTGGGGGTGGGTTGGTGTGAGACCGAGTGAGACGGGGGAAGGAGAAGAGGAGAAGAGCTGGGGTGAGCAGGGTAGGGGGGGAGCCTGGGTGGAGAGGTGAGAGCACCCACCACCACCCAGGAGCCCTCGACTCCCCCGTCCCTCTGTCCTCTCCACGCCTCGCCAGACTGCCTCATCGCTGAGCCTTCCCAGCCCTTTCCAGCCTAGAGTGGCCTCTCTCTCTAAGCTCAGGCTCGGTCTCTACATGCACCTCCTTTGGCACTTCATCCTGGCACCTCATGACACCGTTGCAGGGCTGGTTAACTCCTGCATGGTTGGTTAAGCTTTTGAGTGTCCCCCTGTCTTCTCCGCCACCAGACTATAGGCTGCTTGAGGACAGGGACGGGGGCCGAGGGCTTTCCTTCTCTGTTCTCCCCCACAGCACCTGGCAGGGAGCCTGGCACACAGTAGGCGCTCAGAACTCCATGTTGAGTGAGTGAGTGAATGGCTGGGAGGAGGGGAGGGGATATTGGGGAGCGTGGGGGTGAGAGCAATTGCAGTGGTAACAGAAGCAAGAGCAGCAGCTTAGGGGACTGGGGGAGGGTGCATTACCCGGAATAAAAATAGGCTGGAAAATGTGACATTTATTAACTTGGATTCCGGAGGAAAGGTCACAGTGGAGTGGGGAGTGGGAAGGAAGAAACAGGGAAATCAACAGAAAACATGTAACAGCCCCTTACCCAAAGCCTGCTGCTGTCACTGGCCAGCTCACCACCCCCACCCTGGCAGGTTCCCCACCAACTGGTCCCTGTACCCATCTCCCCGCCATGGATCCCAAATCCCCATCATGGGCTCCATGCTCTCACCACAGAGTCTGTTACGGACCTCATGTCCTCATCAGAGACCCTGTGTCTTTGTCTCCATACCCCTTCTCCAATCTTGCCCCCACCACGCACCCACATCTTCCCCATTGCCATGATCCTGGGCTCCCATCTCAGCCCCTAACCCTAGCTCCTAGTGCTTTTGCAGCAGACTTAGCCCTAGAATGCTGGGTCCAGGGAGAGTTACACTCAGCAGACGGGGGATGAGGTGTGGGCAGAAGGGTATGGGGTCTAAGCTGGGTGGGGGTCGGGGGGGCAGGATCTGAAGGGGAATTCCTGTCCCCCGATGCTTGCTCTGCTCCTCTGCCCGTCACTGTCCTGCCACAGCCCCAGAGCTGAGGCCCATAAACATCAACTACCCTCCTCTCTCCAGCCCCAGGGTCCAAAAGGGCCTGTGGGATCCACCCTCACCCCTGCCTGGCCACCCTCTGGTCCAGACGGACTGGCCAGCCTTGACCAGGGGACTCTCTGCTCCCATATCCACTGGTCACCTCCCCTTTCCTGGAGGCCAGGCAGAAAACCCTTGTCCCCCTGACCTTACTTCCTCGCCCCTCCATCTCTTCCTCCCCCTTCACTCCCACTGGGGTTTCATGACTCTTCCCCTTTCCTTTCCACCCCCAGCCGGGGCCTGGGACACAAATTCCCACCGGGACACAAAGCCTCCATTGATTTCTCCCCCAACAGCACTTGCTAAGACTGGACTTTGTCCCCCCCAACTCAGAGGGGTGAAGCTGCCGCAGAGAGGAGCCCCACGGATCCGAGAGGCCACATTCACACTCTGTGCCCCACCTCCTCCTCGGGGACCCTCAGCCCTGGCTTTCCGACTGGTGATTTTTCCCAGAAGGGGGCTGTGTAGCCGGAGGATAGGCCAGCACCTCCCGACTCCTCTCCCAGTACAACTCTCTCCCTCCTGCCCTTTCCTCCATTTCTACCCAACTCCCCCCACCCAATGGCAGGAGGACCCAGAGGCTGCAGCGATGGTGGTGGCCAGGAACCGAGTGGAAGCATGATTCCTGGTGACACTGAGGCAGGGAGTGAATGAGAACCTGCATAGGGGGTGACTGGGCCATGAGGAGGGAAGTCCCCCATCTCTGGGGTTGGCCGCTGGAGTGGGCTACATGTTGACACCACGTATTCGTGTATGCACCGGGCAGTGGTAACAAGGATGAAAATGCACACGTCCACAATGCTGGGAGTAAGCTGGGGACTGGGGACAGGCGTCTCAGCACCAGGAATAATAGATACCCTGTGGCTGTGGAGCACTGTCAGACAGACAGACAGCAGACAAGACACACCCCCAGCACTCACACACCTGACTGTGGGAGGTGTGCACGGAAGGGCAGCCCAAGCCAACACTCCACTCTCAGTGAAAGTATGTGTGTTTGCGTTCACACGTGTGTGAGAGATGGCGCCAGCGGTCCCCGCATGGGGAGCACGGGTTGAATTAGATGGGGGGGCTCACAAGAGGGGATGGCACCCACAGCGTGACCCTGTCCTCGGCAGCTAAGTAAGAGCTGGGATGTGGGCACAGAGATGAGTAGATGTCTGGGTGTGTGGGTGTGCAGGTGTGCACATGAGTGTAGTGACAGGGATACAGAATGTGTGAGTGTGCAGGAAACTGTCCCCGAGCAGTAGGGGTGTGTGTGTGTGTGTGCTGGGCAGCAGTGAGGGTGAGCCGTGCACTTGAATGAATGAGTGATTCTCAGTGTAAGCCAGAGCCGCGCAAGGGAGCAGCCAGCACCAGGAGAGGGAGGGAGGGCTGGGAAGCGGGAGAAGCCGGAGGGGCAGCATGAAAGAGGGATGTGTGAGGGAGTCTGTGAAAGGGGGTGTGTGTGAGAGACACAGAGACAGAGGAGACACTGGCACCCAGTGTACACGAAGATCGTCTCTATCCAGCCTGCCAGTCGGGCCAGCTCCCCAAGAGGCAGCCCCGAGCCTCTCCCTTGCTGGAGCCCCCCAAACCCCCTCTCCCCATCACCCTCATCTGGTGGGGAGAAGAGCCCAGTAGCCACAGAAGAAAAAGGGAGCAAGAGAAAAGTGGGGGTCGGTTGGTTTGGCCCTGGCATGGGGCATCCCTTCCCTGTAAGCTGACCAGCTTCAGGGCCGGGGCCCACTCCAGGCCCCCCGGCCCCAGACCTGGGCACTGCAGCAGCAGAGCAGCAGCGCCAAGAAGCGGAGCAGCGGCAGCGCCCGGGTAAGCCCCTGTGAGTGTCCCCTGCTCCACGCCCGGGAAGCCAGAGGGAAACACCGGGCTGCGGGGAGACACGAGGCCAGCCTCTGGTGGCGGAAGGAAGGGAAGCCCTGTTGAGGATGCCCCCGTGCACCCCACCCCCTGCCAGCCTCTGGCCACCCCAGGCCAGGCAGGCCAGCTGGCAGGACTCACCACAGAGAAGTTGCTGGCGGAGCAGTGGTGCCCACTGAAGTTGCAGCTCTTGAGCATGTCGGCAAGCTGGTGGCCAGTGCGGTTAAGGATGTCTACCATGTCTGGTTCCGGGTAGCGCAGGCCGGCGGCACGGTGCCCGTCCCGGTCTTTGGGGGGCAGCCCTGTCAGATTGGCCAGGTGGAAGATGTCGGCGTCGCTGAGTGCCGAATGCCGGAAACGGTTGATGTTGCAGAGGGTGACAGCCGGGAAGCCCGCCACGGGGGCTGGGGCAGCAGGGTCCATTGCCACCAGGTGAGGCCGGGTCAGGTAGCCCCGGGCCAGGCCGGCCGCCTGGTACAGAAAGGCAGCCAGCGAGGTGAGTAGGGCCAGTGCCCACAGGGTTCTGCGCAGTCCGTGGGGGCCTGGGCCACAGGCCCGGCCCAGCCCGTGCAGAGTGCTGGTGCTGGCAAAGGTGGCCAGGTCCCGGGGGGCTGCTGCCCCCCGTGCAGCCCCCAGGAGGCTCTGCTCATCCCCTGCCTCCTTCTCCTTGGGTTTCGCATCCTCCTCTGCAAATTTGATTTTGCACACAATCTCGATCGGCATCTGTCCCCGGCTGCTGGGACTGGCCAGAGCCTCCCTGCCCCTGTCCCTCCCTGGCCAGCAGCCCCTGGTGCCCTCCGGAGTGGCGGTGGTGGCAGCGGCTGCTCTTCTAAACTCAGGGCAAGCGGGAGGAGGACAGGGACAGGGTGGGGGCCTGAGGTGGGGGAGTCACTCCCACTCCCAGCAGCCCCGCAGCCCTGGTGCTGCCTCTGCCGCTGCTGCCTCTGCTGCCGCTTGTCTCTCTCCTCGATCGTCTCCTTGTGGCTTCCCTTATCAGCACCAGCACAGCTGTCAGCCCCTGCGTGTGTCCCTGCGAGCGAGCGAGTGAGCGAGGGAGCGAGCACTGCTCCGCCACGCCGCGCAGCCCCAGCCGCTCCGCGCAGCATGTGCTCCGGAGCCCACCCCGTGCTTAATAATTCAGGACATGTCAACAGCGTTTCAACGGCGGCACGGGCGACAGGAGCCAGGCCAGGGGAGGGGGCAGCCCCCAGCCCAGGACAGGGATCCCTGGTCTCTGCCTGAGACCTCGTCGGGCTGTCCCCCAAACTCTGGCTATACCCTAGCCACTCATAGGGTCCCCAGGTGGCCCCACTCCTGGGCCACCCAGGGTGCTGCATCAGACTCCTGAGCCCATTCTGCCACTTTTCTGGACCACACCCCAGGAAGGGGCAGCCAACTCCACCTCCCCACCTCCTGGCCTCCCTGACTCCTGACTCCAGTACCCAGCCACCACCTGACCCCACCACCCCACTCACAGCAGCTTCCAGAAACTCCTTGGGAGAGCCACTTGTTTGAATGAGGGAGGGGAGGGCAGGCAAGACAGACAAGAGGATGACAGTGAGTCCACCGAGATTCTCGGCTTCCCTGGAGCTTTACTCCGACTTCAACACCCACCATACCCCTGCCTACTCTGGGATGCTGGCCGCCCCCTCCACCACTGTGCCCTCACCCCCAAACTCAGTCACTCATGTGTCTGAGACACAGGGCACCCTGGCTGACTTGCACATCTGTGGCCACTTTGCTTCCCCCAATCCCTTGCCACTGCCAGGCTGGGGGTGGGGAGAGGGTGTTGGGTGAGCAGGCCAGGGAGCAGAGAGGAGGTAATGATGTGGGGGAGGGTGTGGAATGGAGGGTGAGGAAGAGCCCAAATGGGGATGTCAGAGGGAGTTGAGCTGTGCTGGGCTTGACTGGGAGGGAGGGCTGGGGACCCCCGGCAGAGTGGGGCAGGGGAGCCCTGGGACGGCTGCTGTCTTGCGGAGGGGAAGCCTGCATGTGAGCTGTTACCACAGACAGCCACTCTCCCCTGTTGGCAGGCCAGGAGGAGCTGCCTCGGTGCCCCCAGGGTGGGGGCGGTCACACTGAGCAGACTGTGCTCTGGGGGGGCCGTGTGAGAGGCTGAGCCCTCACGGGGAAGGAAGCACTTGTCCCAAGGCGGGAAGGGGGGGCTGATTAATCGGGGCGCTAATGAGCAGCAGGGAGAGGAAGCTCAGAGGGGCGGGGGAGGCGGCTCCATCGATCCGAGCCGCGAAACCAGCAGCTGAAAAAAAAAGTGAGGAGGGAATCGATCTGAGGGAAACGGCAGCTGCTGGGGATTAGAGCCCGAGGTCCACCCGCTGCCCAGCGGCCACCCCTCCCCTGCGTCAGACCTGCCCCTCAGGTCGCAGCCCCTGCCTGGCCCAGGAGGAGGGGCCCAGGGATGGCTGCCATCGGGGGCAGGGAGCCACTCTGCCCACCCTTGGCTGTGAACCCAGGTCATGCCCCCATCAGTCACAGATCACCCCAGCATGGAGCCCCCACACACATACCCCTGGCCATGCGTGGCACCCTGCTGGTGCTGTCCCCAGACTCTCATCAAAGTAGATTCCTCAGGGACCCCCTCGGCTGGCTGGGCTTCCCCACAAGCCAGCTCCCCAAGCTGGGAAGATAAGACTCCTGGGGTGAGGGGCTGTATCGGACAGCCTCCCAGAGGGGATAGTGGGGTCTGCACTGGAAGCAGCTGCTGAATTAGCCCTCAGAGTCTCCAAGTGACCACAGGCGGTGCCCCTCTCTCTGGTCCCTGCCCAGGCAGGCTCCTCCCATGCTCTTCCCTCCCTGCTAGACTTCCAGACTCTTCCAGCCTTCCTCCCCCACTTCCTCGTCCTCCCCCAGCCTCTCTCTTCCCCTTTCTCCTAGTATCGATTTTTTTTACTAGGTATTTTTCTAAAAGGTGATTTAATTGCTTTTTTAAGGTTACTTCAGTCTGGGGCTCTGCCAAGAAAGCGGGGAGCTGCCCCCAAAAGCTTTCCTGGCCACCCTGGACTCAGTGCGTGTCCGTAAATTGCCCTGCCATCCATTGAGATCATGGGGTTATACTCCGCCAACGTACTAGCCTCCATCATGAGGCCAAAGCACACCTTCTTTCCTCCTGAGGGCATGGCAGGAAGCCTTCAACCTCCAGAAGGAATGAAGTTGGGTGGTACCCCAGTATGGGAGGAGGAGGGGGAGGAGGGTAGAGAGGCGAGTTCCAGTCCACTGGGAAGTGGAACAGCAGTTAGCTGCACACCGCCCCCACCAGTGCCCCACGGCCAGCTGTCTCCAATTGTCCCCAGTCCCCATCTTCCAGTTTCCCAGACCCCCAGGAATTGGGTGATGCTCAGTAGCAGTACCCCCACATCCTTTCAGCCCATCGCGTGGCCTTTCCCCCTGCTCTGCCAGTCTCCTCTGTCTCCCTACACCCCCTTTCCCTCTGGCCCCCGTCCTTCTCCCCTCCCTCTCCCCGCTTCCCTGCCTGCCTCCCTCTCTGCCCGGCTGCAGTTGGGTGATAATCTCCCTCATTTAGCCTCCCGGCTGCTTCCCCGGCTCATTGCCCAGCTGGTCCCTGGGGCCCGGCCCAGCTTCTTCCCCACCCCCAGCCCCAGCCCTTCGCCCAAGCTCTCCCATCCCTTCCCCGCTTTGCCCACCCACTCCCAGGGGACCAGCTGCCCCCTGCAGTGAGCATCAGGGCCAAGTGTGGCCCGCCAAGACCAGAGCTGGGGGTGAGGCTGTCAGGGTCTCTGAGTTGGGAGTGTGGGTGTGGGACGTGGGGCGAGGGGGCTGCAGGGTCAGGCTGTGAAGCCTTAGCCAGGTGTCCTCTGTACTCCACTCATCCCTGTTCCCCGGATTTGTTCCCAGTCCAATTCTCCAGCTACCCCCACCCCCCAGAGATGAACTAGGCTTTCTGAGAGCGAGAAAGGGAATGGTGGATGAACTGAGAGAGAGAGAGTGGCATCTGTACAGCCTGCCAAGGCAGGGCCTGGGACTAGGGGGCACAGGGTGAGGGGGACCAGGGGGTGTGGAGGATTAATTTGGGCAAAATGCCCACAGGCAGACCCGGAGACCTCCCGGGATCCAGTTTGGGGGTTCCCAGGGGGCCTCCAAGGCCCTTTCTGCCCCCAGGCTGTTGGTGTGGTCTCTTCCCAGCAAGAGACCCCATGCGGGGCCACATTTGCCCCTTCCCATCATTCGTGGGCCCCAGACTCCCTGCCTGGGTGGCCCAATTCATAAATAATGTGCCCCCTAAACTCCTAGACAGCATTCTCCTAGAGAGTCCCCAGCCTCTCCCTGCTCCCAGAGGACACCTTGCAACCCTCCCCAGCCTAGACACCTATCCCAGGCCTGGCACTGGTGCAGACCACGGGATGAGCCAGTGTGGGACAGATGTGGGCGGGAAGGGACAAGGATGGGGGGGGTGGAGGCCGGGACTGGGCCAGGCCTGGCTGGTGAGCGAGCAGCGGTGACAAACGGGCTGTGCGGGGGCCGAGGGGCGGGGGGCGGACGGCGGCTGATTTATCTGGGTTATTTATGCCGCGGACGAGGCAGGAGAAGCGGTTAATGAGAGTCCCAGAGAAGGGGGGTGGGGAGGCCCAGACGTGATCTGAGGCGGCTGGAGAGGGTTAGCGACCCACTGCCAGACCCTACCCCGACTGCCCGCCAGCACTCTGCACCCCCCACCCGGCCTTGCCTTGACCCCTCTCCTGTGGCCAGTATCAACACTTCCCCATCCCCTTTTGGGGATGCCCAGGCAGTGGGTCACTGGGACTGAAGGGGACCCGGTCCAAGATCGAGGGGCAGCTGTAAGACTGGGGAGGGGCCCAGGAAAGGGAGGGCAGGGAAGGAAGATGAAAAATCTTGGCTGGACAGAAACTGACCAAGTCTGTGGGGTCTGTGGGAGAGGGTTTGGGGTGGGAAAGGGCGAGTGTGGGAGTGGGTGGGCAGCCGGCAACCTCAGAACAGAGGCTGGAGAGGGCAAGGGGCATTGGGGTGCAGATTTGGTGTCAGCCCGGAGCCATCATGGGGGCCTGAGAGGCAGAGACAGGCTAGTAGGGGGGCCCGTCAGAGACTAGAGAGAGCCAGGGAAGGAGGGAGAAGATCCAGAGAAGGAGGGGGAGAGGGCTTTGCAGCAGCGAAAGCTGCTGGGAGCAGATAAGGCGGCACAGCAGCAGGAGGGATTAAAGCTCTGAGGGGCAGGGGCGGGGGCGCGGCGTGGGACACGGGGGCACCACGGGGAGGAGAGGGCTGAGGGCAAGACACGGGGGCCAAGGAGATGAGTGGGAGAAGCGAGGGCTGCGAAAGAGGCGGGTTATAACCAAGGACCAAGAGGTGGTCATAGCCTGGGAAAGAGGAAAGCAGGGACTCCTGATCCTGTCTTCTGGGGAGGGGGTCTTTTCTGCCACTGGCGAGCCCCCATCCCCTGCGCATGTCACGGGTAGCAGAGCTAAGCGGATGGTTGCATTGCTGAGGATGGGGCACCGGCGGATGGTTCAGGTGGGGGGTGGGAAGCGGCAGGGGCCAGCTCTGGGAGCCACTGCTCTCACGGCGAGAGACTGAGGGCACGCAGCGCCTCCTAGAGGTGGCCAATGGAACACAGGGTCAGGGGAACCGCGCTGCAGGGTGTCCAGCCAGCCTGCTCTGGGGTGGAGACCCCATCATGTCCAGGGTGGCAAGGACCAGCGTTGCAGTGGGGCTTCTTTGTGGGGAGGCGGATGGGCATGGAGGGAGGGCAGTGGCTTCTCCAGGCTTAGGTCTCTGCCCCGGATGCCCCTTCCCACCCCTTGCCCTCCTGTTCTCCAAGCCTCCCAAAAGGGTGCGCTTGGGGAGGATGAGGCCCCTGCTCCCTTCCAGGGGAGAGCCGAGGGCGCTTCAGAGGTGACCGAGGTGGCGGAGGGGAGCCTGGAGGGAAGGAAGGGAAGGGGGGAGGGGGTGAGGGGAGGGGAGCGGGGGCGGCGGGCGGGGCAGAGTAATAGCGTGTTTGTCAGTTCTGTCTCTGCGCACGAGGGAGCGTGTGTGCTGGTGGGTGTAGCTTCGCCTCGAAGAGTATATGTCTGTTGGCAGAGGTGTCAGTGTGTCTGTCTCAGGGGTCTGGGCTCTCCTTGGCCCCCGCCCCCCCCCTTTGTGTTTTGGGGAGCGTGGCTCTGGGCACACCCAGCTGTGCTCCGTGCTGATGCGGCAGATGTGGCGGGGCCCCAGCTGTGCCTGCTTCCCGTAGAGGGGGAGGGGGCTCAATCTGCTCCCCCGATAATGGCTGCTAAGTGCCAGGGGGGAGGGGATGGAGGAGGGGTGGGACGGGGGCCCGGGGCAGCCGCGCCAAAGGGGTAGGAGAGAGATGAGGGCCCCGCCCTCGCCCCACCCCGTCCTGGCCAGCCTCCCCCCATCTGTGTTCTTGGCTCGGCCTCTCCCGCTGGCTAGCTCCTGAAGCCCATCCAAATTTCTCTCCACGCTCAGTCCCCGTCCCCAGCTTCCCCCCCTGGCGCCCCATCCAGCTTGGTGCCAGGGACCCGCCCCACTCCCCGGCCCCCAGCTCGCTCCCCCTCGCTGATTTTACAGAATAATCTTTTTATGGAAACCGAAAAAAGCGCTAATGGCAGGAGCGCACCCCTCCCCCGCATGCCTCCCCCCCACCGCTCATCCCCCACTTCCCACCCCAGTTCCCTCGGTTCTCCCTCTCTCAAGCCCTCCCGGGGGCCAGCACCCCCTACCCCTACGGGGCCCATGAGGTCCCAGGGGTGGTGGAGAAGGGTGCTCCCACACCCTAGGCCCTGAGCTGTGTCCTTGGAGATGGGGAGGGGGCGCTGGGTTTCTCCCAGGGCAGACAAGGGCTGGAGAGGAGAGGGGGCATTAAAACCTCTCTCTTCAGACCCCGCTCCGCCTGAGCACACACACAGTGACTCCATCAGCCTGGGGGGCATGTTGCAAAGACCTCAGCTTCACTAGCCCCTCCCACTTCGAGGACTGACCCTGTCGCCTTTCAGTGCCTCTCCCTACCATGTCCCCACCCCTCACTGGGCCTAGGAGGGGGGTCCCCGGGGCCAGGGCCTGACACAGACTTATTGGATTTCACGGTGTTTTGCTGAGAAAATAATTAAATTATCATATTTATGATGGAGCTGCCATGGCCTCTGCCAACCACTTGGAACAGGAGGGTCAGGACTTGGGGGAGGAGAGGCAAGGGACCCGGCCCCTGGCCTTACAGCCCACCCCTCTCCCAGCCCCTTCCTCAGGGGGTTGACCCCAGGCTCAGGCATCTGCAGCTGCCTCCCAACCCCACGCAGAGATGACGGAAGGGCTGGGCCGGAGGCAGGGACCAGAGGAAACGGGAAAGGGGCTGAGTCAGGGCAGGTTATAGGTTGGGACGCTAAATCCCTGGGTGGTTTCACACCGGCTCTCACACAGCCTGCAGGGTCTGAGGGGCTGGGAGGTCACACCTGGCGGATCCCCATGTCACTCTCAGCCCAGCTCCTGAGAAAGCACATCTTCCCAACTGCCCAGCTGAGAAGCGATGAAATCCTGGGCTCTGTCCCAGACCTGGTGCTTGATAACAAGGCCCCGGCACCCTGCCGCCTGACACCCCTGCCTGCTGCCAGGACCCCCTCCTCCCTCCCACCCACGCCCTGCCCCCCCATTCTCTTCGGGTAATTAGATTCCTCTCAATTAGCAGATTACAATCATTACCAGCTCATCTGGCAACTAAGCTCGGCACCCACAGCTGGGGAACGGGGGGCCCCAGGAGGGGCATGAGTGGGTCATGGGCAACATGGGAGATGGCTGGGTTTCTCTGGGGCTCCAGGAATGTGGACAGGAGGCCTGAGACCTCCCAAAGGGCAGAACCCGGGTGGTGGGAGGTGGCTGGGGCCTTCCCCTACCAGAAAAGAGCGCCTCCCACTGTGCTTCTGGAGAGAAAGGCACGGGCTCAGGTCTGCCCTGGCTGCCGGGGGAGTAGGAGACACACCAGGCCTCTGGCGGGGAAGAAACCCCACCCGCCAAAAGCCAGGCTAGGAACAGATGGAGCTGGCAAAGCAGAAAACAGGCCCGCGCGGGCTCGGCAGGAACAAGAGCAAGGATCAGGGATCCAACCTCGGGCCTGTGGCTCCTGGTCCCTGTGGCTCCCAGTCCCTGCCATCCGTAACCCACTGCCCAACTGAAATCCTTCACCCCTTCCTTTGGGAATCCTGACGCAGGCCCAGTGAAGAGGAACCGGGAGGTGGGCGGGCAGCGTCGGGGTAGGGGTGAAGGTGGGGGCCGGGCAGGCTGGGAGCCTGGAGGGCCTTCCTCCCGAGCAGCGCAGGAGGCTGAGGCAGTAGGAAGGGGAGATTTACCAGGGCTCCAGATTCATTATTCATGAGCCCGCAGCAACGACTCCAATTTAAATGCTAATGTGGGGGGGCCTGACTCAGCTGCCCCCCCTTCCACCTCCGCCCCCAGCCCAGGCACAAGCGGAGTCCGTGCTGGCTCCAAGATTCACGGGGGTTTATTAGGGAGTGGAGAGGGAGGCCAGGAGTCCCCTGGCCACCCACGTTGCACCCACGTTGCTGCCGGTGTGTGAGGATCCTGCCTGACTCCCTCCAGTCCTTTCTGGCCCGAGGCTGGCCATGCAGGCAGTAGCCTCGAGGGGAGTGAGGAGGAGTTGGGGGGGGGGGGCCTTCTGGCAGCCCCCCTCAGAGGATGATCTGGTTGGTGAAGCTTCGGCTCAGCTCCTTGTGTGGCAGAACAATCGAGTTCAGGATCAGCACCTCAGCAGGGATCCGGACGCGGCAGCCTGCAGGGTGGACGAGGGTGCCAGGGGAGGCCATGGGGAGGGAGGTAAGGGACAAGGAGCTGGGGGCCACTGCCAGCCAGGAGGGATACCTCCCTGACCATCTGTGCTCTGGCCTCATGCCCCCTAGCGACACACAGAGCCTGGCACACTGCAGGCACTTGGTAAACGTTTGCTAAAGGAATAAACACACGCGTGCACAGGCACACACACACACACACACACGAATAAATGCTCCCCACAGAGCGTGGCCATCACCTGTGGAGGCTTCTCACAGACCCAGGTCCCCTGGGAAGCCATACCCAGGATGGTGATGGCAGGCAGCAGCTTCCCATCCTTGAAGAGGCTCTCACTGTCCATGTGGGCTCGGGGGTCGTTGGGATTGGGGTCATTGGGGGTACCCTCCACGCGGGCCCAGCGCCCTACGGTGCTCCCCCAGCCCACGATGCTGTGCAGAACACATGTGTGCTCCTGCCAAACAGGACGTGCGAGGTGAGGGGTGAGAAGGGGCCAGATGCAGAGCCCGGGGGGGTCAGCCCTTCCCCAGCCTCCAGGGGCACCTTGCCGTGCTGTGTGTGTCGCGTGCCTACCTGCAGCGTGGCTCCGTGGAGGACAATGCTCTCTCGGAGCCGTACACCCTCGCCCACGGTCACCCCCTCCCCGATGGAGACATTGGGGCCCAGCTGTGGAGAGGAGTACATACCATAAGAACTGGGGGTGCTTGGAGGACCCCAAGTCCAACCCCCTCATGGAACACACAAGCAGGCCCTGGAAGGGACCTGCCTGAAGCCACAAGACAGGCTGTGACAAAGTGAGAGACCAGCATTCCAAGCTCAGGAGTACCCATGCCAACCCACCCGTGCTGACAGCCCCTTTCCTCCCCAGGCTGGGCCACCACTTACCACAGCCGACGGGGCCACCTTTGCCGTTGGGTGGATATAAACGTTTCCTAGAAGCAGAAGAGAGGACTGGGGACAAAGAACCCAAACTCTGGTCCTGGTCCAGGGAGGGCAGGGTTAAGCCTTCACCTCTGGATCTGAGATCAGGAGTCAGGGCTCTGAGGGCAGAGGGTGCTGGGGTGGGGGCGAAGCTTAGGAATTGGCAGGGTGGGTACCTCGGATCCGTGGACCCCCTGGGGTATGCTTGGCCAGGCGTTCTGGGTGAGTGAGCTGGTACTGGCCCAGATAGAGGCGGGAGGCATAGAGGGCTGAGCTGGGGGCCACAAAGTGGAGCAGGGGCTCAGGGGCCAGAAGGGCCAAAGCCGCAACCCCCAGGCAACCCAACGACCCCATCGGAGGCCCCTCCCCTACCCTGCAGACTTGATCTGGCTCCAGATACCCTCAGTGAGGTAGACGTAGATCTGGCCCTGCCCAGCCAGCGCTGAGAACACATCCTGCTCCAGGCGGATGGTACCTGCCCCCCGCCACAGGCCGGAAGAGTCCTCCCTGCCAGGAAGGAAGGGATGCTGACACCAGTTCCCCAGCTGAGCCCGTCTTGGGGGCCAACAGCCTCTCAGGGACAGGAAGCGGAGGGAATCCCACCACCTCTCCGGGTCTGGTCAGATCCTCTCCAAAGGGATGCTCACACCCCAGGGAGCTCCGACAGCTCCCGCACGTCACCCCTCCCCCCAGCTGAGGTGCATCCCAGGGAGCCCCAGCCACAGACCCACTGCCCATCCCTGGCCCATGTCCAAGGAGTTCAACCACACCTGGCTTCCCCCATTTTCACATTCTCCTCCCCACCCCCTCCTCCGAACCCTGCCCCCAGACACCCTCCCTCTCACTGGATGGAATGAAACACAGACAGACTCACCCCAGAGGAAGGCAGCTGGTGAGAGCAGAGACAGTCACAGAAAGAGAGGGAGAGAGAGATGGTAGAGATGCCCGCTCAGCAGAAACAGACAGAGAGGCCAGGAGAGATGGAGAGAGAAGCAAAGATATGGGAGGGAGTGAGAAGATGGCCGAGTGAATGAGGCACAACATGGGGAGATGGGCGGGGAGTGAATCCGCAGAAGGGAACAGGTCCAGGCCTAGGAGGACCAGCTGGGGATTGTGGCTTACGATGAGCAGGGCTCTGGGTGCTATGCTCCAAGGGTAGCCTCTGCCTGAGTGTACGTGCGTGTGTGTCTCTGTGTCTGTACCCGAGCGTGTGTGCACCCAAGTGTGTGTGTTGCCGTCTGTTCTGAAAGACATCTCTGGGACACTCAAAGCTTGAAAGAAATGGACCAGAAGGGGAGTGGGCAGGCGGTGACAGAGAAGGAACTGGGATGGATAAGGAAGAGGGACAGAATCAGGTTAGAAGGGGAGGGACCGGGAAGGCTCGGGTGCAGATGACAAATGGAAGGGAGAGGGGAGAAGGAAGGTGAGCAGGTTGAGATGAAGCCTGCGGAGACTGGGGGGTCTGCGACTGGGGTGCCTGGGGTTAGAGGGCCATGGGGCCCGCCTCACAGTTGCCCATCCTGCTGATTCCGCTGGAAGACATCCCCAAGGGGCTTCAGGGCTTCCGGGGAAAAGAGATAGATGCCGCAGTTGATGACGTCACTAACAAACGTGCTGGGTTTCTCCACATAGTGCAGGACCTGGGGACAGAGCGCGCTGGGTGCAGTAGAGGAGGGATGGCTGCCACCTTCCCCTGAGCCCCTCTGATCTCCAGGTCCTCCCTGCTGCCAGGCTGGTCCTCCTAAAATGCGGAGTGCATCGTGCCACTGCCTTTCACCCTCACCTTCGAGCTCAGTCTGAACCCCACGCCCTTCCCTCCAGATCTTCCCCACCTCCCGGCCACAGCTCCGTGCCGCTGCTGCCTGTGCCTGGAATGCCCTTTCCCTTCTCTTCATCTGGAAAACTCAGCTTTCAAAACCCAGCTGGCACTGTCACTCCCTCTGAGTCTGCTCTTGTCTGCTCCACAGTTAGCGTCTCAGCTCCAGGCACCCCTGTCCTCTGGCCACACCTCCCCCGCGGCACTTGTGTCATTTGCAACGGTTGGTTTTTGACCATCTCTCTCACTAGACTGAGGGCTCCTGAAGGGCAGGGATTGCGTCTTTTGGGCTCTGTTTCTCTCACACCTGGCTAGTGCCTAGCACAAAACTTAAAAATATATGTGTGTCTATGTATGTGTATGTTCACATGTACTTTTAATACTAAAGCTGTTTAAACAAATAAAAGGTGTGTGTGAAAGGTGGCTAGGCTCCAGAACAGGGGATTTCACAAACAGAGACCCTCTGCCTTGCCCATGATGCTCCCACCTCCATAAGTCTGCAGGCGCTATGCTGTTTCCTGCCTCTGTGCCTTTGCACATACCGTTCCCTCTACCTGCAATGCCTTGCTATCTCCTTCATCTTGACAAATTTAACTCAGCTCAGACCTCGCCTCCTCCAGGGAGCCCTCCCCACCCCCGCTCAGGCACAGCTGGGTTGAGCCCCCTTTTGTGATCCCCCAGCACCCCGAGTGCATACATCCATGGGAGCACCACACTCATGGAAATGAACTGCTACTCCTCTGCCAATCTTTCTTAAAGGGATATGAGATGAACAAGTGAGGGTGCATCCCACCTGTCTGACGGGACTGAGGCCCACCCCATAGCGTTGCAGCATTCTCTAGAGGCTGAGGGGTGGGCAACGATGAGAAGGCACCCAGCCAGCCCCTCTCTGCTCTCACCTCGTGCGTCTGTGGATTCTCTACGATGCAGCCGTAGTTGAGGGACTGCGTCCTGTTAGCCTGAAAGACAGACACACGGAGACGGTGACCCGCCTGCTCCAGGGCAGCACGGTCTATTTTCTTTCTTTCTTTCCCTCCCCCATAGCACCTGGCACTCCGCTCCGCCACTGACAGGCCTTCAGCAGGGGTGAGAACTGACAGCTGCCCTCTCCCTCCCTGCTTCTGAACAGCCAAAGGGCTCAGGGTCTCCACCGCCTGCCACCTCCACTGCTGCTGGGCTTCTGGCCCATCTCTCTCCTGATGCCTGTTCCCAGTGAACTCCCCGGGTGGCCCCCGCCTCCCTGTCACCCTTCACTCCAGGAACCTCTCTGGATCACCCCCTCTACACCCTCCAGTTCTCCACGCCCCCTCACCGTGGTGCCGAGGAGCAGGAAAGGGTGAGGCTGGTGTCTGTGAGCATCCAGCATAGCGCTCAAGGGGAAGTCGGAGCAGACGTCTGCATTGAGCACGAAGAAGGCCTCAGGGCCTCCCGCCAGGATCTGGTCCCGGAAATGGTAGAGACCACCCCCTGTGCCCAGGGGGGCAAATTCCTGCAGGTACCTGTCCCCAGGGACCCCAGAGCCAGCTCAATGAGATGAGAGGAGACAGATCCCATGAGCCTGGGGCACTGTGACCCCTCCTCCTCTCAGGGGCACAGCTGCCCAAGGCCCACAGAGAAACTCAATGTATTTACTGATTCCGAGATGCCCAAATAAGAACCCTCCTCATGTGTGACGGTGCCATCTGGCCAATGCTGACTCAACCCACTCCCAAGAACTCAGAGGCCTGGGGTACACCCCCCACCCCATACAGCCCAGGGGCACAAACACCTGACCGGAAGGTGAAACTCCTGCTGGGCAGCTTCTAGGAACCGGGTAAGGGCCTCATCGGGCTGGTAGAAGCCAATGAGCAGAATCTCCTGCATCCCAGGGACCTGAGGACAAGGGATAAGTTGGAAGAAAGAATATCTGATAGGAGGGAATGCTGGATAAACCCCTGGTACTGGCCCAGAAACCCAGAGACCACAGTTTCAGTCTCAGCTGTGGGGCCCTGGGCACTCACTCTACCGCTCTGGTCTGACTTCTCCTCTGGACGATGAGGAAGTTAGAGGAAGTCTCAGTCCCTAATCTTTCCATCTTTTGTTACTCTATTCCTCCCTCCCCCGACCTCACCTCTGAATTGGGGCTCACCCCAGGAAAGATTTTACCTACCAAGCTGCATTCAAGGGTACTCCATTCATTTGCCCCCATATTTATTATCTGTCATTCTGAGCTTGAGGGAAGGAGACCATGTATCAAATGCCTACACTGTACTCCAGGCTTTACAAACACCGTCTCCAGGCTTTGCCATGCCACAAAGTCAGTCTAATCACCCCCACTTTACAAATAAGGAAACTAAGGCTCAGAAAGGGTGAGAAATTTGCTCAAGTCCTTACAGCAGTCAAAGACTGGATTCAAACAAAACCCGGCCTGTCCCCAGACCAGAAGCAATAAAGCAATTAGCTCCAGTGCGAAAAATGAGTTCTGTGCTCGGCTATCATTAAGGTTTCCAATGCTACAGCTTTACACTGTCTCTAAGATTCCTGCCTGACCTCACATTCTGTGCTTTAAAAATAGGAGGGAAATCTGAGCAAGAAGAGGCCAGAGGAGAGACTAGATTAGAAGACAGCACTGCACAACTCCAGGGGCGCCATTCACATCGTCATTTGTAAATGGTGGTCCCTGGCGTTATGCTGGGTGGGAAGGGGTCATGTTTGGAAAAGGGGAAAACAGACCACAAAGGAGATGAGCGGACAGTGAGGTGGGAGAGGGGAATTTATGAGGTTACCTGGGCACAGGCCTCAATGTGGTGCTGGATCATAGGGACCCCTGCCACTGGGAACAGGGGTTTGGGCACCTCAAAAGACAAAGGCCTGAAGCGGGTCCCTGGGAGAAGGAAGAAGCATATTTCAGCCTCCTGCCTCCTCTGCCCCACCCACCAACCACTCCAGCCCAACCTCGCCCCTCAGCCACTGGCTCCTCACCCTTTTGAGGGCCTCCAATCAGGATCACAGCTTTCAGCATGATGGCAACTGCACCCTAGACCTCAAATCCCAATGGGGAAGACAAGCTCAGATCTCACATCCCAACCCAGAACCCCACTCATACCCCAACCAAGCCCCAAATAGCAACCATCAGCCCTCTCCCAGGATGTAAATCCAAAGTTCAGTATAGTACCTCCCTGGACACACCTCACAAATCCCACACATCTCAAATCTCAACCCAGAATGCAGAAGGCTTCATACCCCAGCGATTCCTCCCCAATTCTGAAATTCACATCCCACAATTTGACCCTTAACAGACTTGCCTCTGGCCACAAAGTCAACAAACTCAGCAACAGACCCCCCCTTCTCAGACCCTAAACTTCGAAAATCAAAACTCGGAACCCACTGATTCCCAAATTGTTGCATCTTCACTCTACATGTTAAGCCCTGAATCCCCAAAATGAACCCTGAATATTGAACCTCAGAGCCTGAGTCCCAGTTATTTAACCGCAATCCTGAGTGAACCCCAAGTATTGAACTAACACTGATCCGCATCTGATGAATCTTAAATCCTAGCAAAAACCCTCTACGTGCTGAACCTGAATCCTAAAACTAACCTCTAGGTGATGAAGTCTGAATCAAAAGACAGATTCCCTTGGCGTCCCAAACACTGAACCTACCAGGCCCCTGAGTCCCAATACTGACGACAAGCGCTGAATCTCCGAATTTGGAGGACTGACTGCTGACCCTCTGAACCCCACAACTGACTCTACCTTATAAACCTTAGCCTTGCGTAGCCAGGGGTTGTGGGACCAACACAGGAGAGGACGTGCGGAGAACCAACCCGCACCTCCGAGCTCGCCCTCGACCTAGGGCCCGTCCCCCGCCCTCCCCTCGTCTCGGCACCCCTCCATCAACATCTTTACCACTAGCCCCCTTTATTCCGGCTCTGCCCTCCGCTATGCTTGCTCCTTCCGCGCACGTGTCTTCTCGCAACTCGCGAGAACTCCTTCGCAGCGTATGCCGGGAATTGTAGTTCTTAAGTTCTTCCCCTAGTTCTGACTGTGAGGAGAGAAGTGTGAGGGCACGGGGGCGAGGCCAAGGGATGGAGGGGGCGGGCCTAAATGAGAAGAAGGGTGGGGCCTGAGACGCAGAGGCTGGAGCCTAAGATTAGGACCCGGAGCTGTCTGGCAACCGGCTAAGGAGTAGCCGCCAAAGTAGTGAACGAGGTCACGCTGAGAAGCCGGGCTAGAGACAAGAGGAGGTGTGCCCAGTCTTGAAATGGGCGGGGCCAGGGCGCAGACCCCCCCCCCCACCCCCGCCCCACCACGAGAGGGTGGGGCTTGAGGTGTAAAAGAGAAGAGAAGGCGGAGTCGTAGACTCTTCTGCGGGTCCCGCTGGTAGGAGAAGGAGCTTCCGACCGTGACCGAATGCCTATCTCAGATTTACTGTCTGTAAAATGAAGCACTAGACTAGCCACTCTGCAAACATTTTGATCCCAACACTGTGACCTTGGTGTGTGGGTCTGGAATAAGTGTGAGTGTGGGTGCGGGGGAGAGGAAATGGCGTCGCAAAGGAACAGAATAGACGCAGAGGGTCAGAGAGCGCAGTTTTATTAAGCAAGATTTTATTAAGGAGGGTTGTCGGTCCCGTCTACGCCCAGGCTGGGAGCCACGGCGAAAGGTCTGAGGGTCCCTTTCAGGCCATGTCCACGCTAGCGAAGCTGTGGTCCGTGCCCAGGCTGTTCTCCACGTACACCTCATATTTGCCGCTGTCCTCGGGCGTGGCCGGACGAATGGTCAGGGTCGTGGTGGTACTGCCAACATGAGGGGGTCGGCACGGGGCAATTTACACGCGCCCTGGGCCGGGCTCGTTAGCCAGCTCTGTTCTCCGCCTCCCAGTTCCCCGCCCCATCCAATGCCCTCCCGGTTTCTGGGCCCCGTCCAGCCCAGGCTCCAGCTCCAGGCCCTGCCCTTGCGGCAAGTGCCCGCCCTCGCCTGTCGTCCTCCTCGCTGTCCTCCCCGTCCTTGGTCGAGACCACGTCGGGCGCAGGCTCGCCCAAGATCTCCGCGGTCAGCCTCACCGTGGTGCCTTTGCGCGCCTTAGTGTTATCCGGTCCCTTTTGAGTCTTTGGGGACACTAGAGGAAGGGAAAGGGAATGCGTCTCAGTGAGGGACCTAGAGATGAGGCGGGGCTGGGCATCACTTCTCCAACTAATACCCCGCCCTAAATACGAGATGGATTTGATTTAAACGCGCAGTGTGATGCTGAGCAAGTCTGTATCCTCTCTGGGGCTTCATCTCCTCGGCTGTTAAATGGGACTGATAGCTGCTCCTCCTTCTCCGCAGGGTTGAATGGAGCATCAACGGAGATACAACGGGTGAAAGCCCGGGAATGTTCATACATCTCGCTGTGCCTTGGAGACAGCTCCGGGTAGTGGAAATTGCTCTGTGTTGGGAGCCAGACTAGGAATCTAACCCTGGCTCTGTGTCAGGCTCGCTGTGACCTTTGGTCCCTGGAATCAAGTGATCAAAGCCCACAGCAGACTTCTCAGTCTGAGTGGGACCAGATCCTGAGGTAGGGAAGGACTACCCAGCCCGCGCGTCGCTGCGCTGCGCCCCAGGCTGTGCCCGGGGCTGGCTTGGGCCCCACCGCATCTGGACTCGGCTAGGCCCAGCGGTAAACGCGCGGCTGGACCCAGCTGCGGGCGCCCCTGGGGTGATGCTGCTCTGCGCAGTGGCACTGCATCCGGGGCGCGCATTCCTTCCACGAGGATGCGCGCCGAGTCGGAGCCCTAGCCGAAGAGGTTGGTTACGTTGATGCTGTACTGGCCCAGGTCTGCCAGCTCGCCATCGCGCACCAGCAGTGCGAGGACGTCAGGGTCCTCGAAGATGTAACGATACTTGGGCCGGTCGCGCAGCTCTTTGCCGTCCTCTCTCTAGCGGATGAATGGGTCCGGGAAAGCCGAAATGCGGCAAGTCAGCTTGGCTGCGCTGCCCTCGATCAGCACCACGTCCTTCAGCGGCTCCAGCACTCGTGGCGGCCCGTTCTCGCGCAGCTCCTTCCGCGACCTGCCCGCGAGCCGGGTCAGGGCCCAGAGCTCCCAAGACACGGCTCCAGCCAGCCCGCAGCCCTGTCCAACCACATGTGATCCCCTGCCCCTCGACCCACTAGAACCTTAAACCTGGGGGCGAGTAGGAAGGGGGTTGCTCCTTAATTATTACCCTGATGAAACAGTTTTCTCTTGTCGGCCACCCTTCCACACCTCAGTAACCACTCTCTCCGAAGTCCAGTGACCCCGGTGGTCCATGACACTAGGACCTCTCTCCTGATGCAGGAATGCGTTTTCTGCAGCTCCAGCTCCCTTCCTCCTGAGGGCTCCAGGGCTCCCCCTCACCTGTGGCCCCAGTATGAGGCTTGGATGTGAATGGCCCCTTTCTGGACCTGGAGATCATTGACATCCAGGGTGCATCCCGGAGGCGGGGCTGCAGCCACCGTTTTTGGCCGGAGCAGCTTTGGACATCTGGGGAGCACAAAATAAACACAGAATCTAGGCTGACACAGAGACTCGGCCTTCAGACTTTTTTTCCGTGCCAATTCAGAATATCTCCGGGGTGGGAGTATCTGGGGCTGGTCTGAGGATCAGGACTCACTGTGGGGGTCGACTTCAGGACTTGGGTCGACTAGCTGGGGAGCAGGTGGCACAGAGCCCTTCCAGATGGCACAGTAGGGGCGTGGGCAGGTGCTTAGCCCTGGCCATGGTTTTTATATATCGCTCCCCTCCTTGCCTTGTTTGGCGTGGTTGCCCTAAGACCCCTGGGGACCCAAGCCCCCACCCCCTGACCTAAGCGGCCTCCTTATTTAGCCTGAGGATGACTGGGATGCTGGCTCAGCCACTGGGGCAGGCCTGCAGTGGGGGAAACCCAAACAGCTGCAGGGTGCACTCGGTGTCAGCGGCCGGACAGCTGGGCAGCTGGATGCTGCCCCATCCCCTCCCAGGGCAGAGGGCATCCATCCCGCTCCTGGGAGGACCAGACAAGACCCCAGGCTCCCTGCTGGAGCAGCTTTACACTCACGTCAATCCCCAGTCAGACGATGTGCCCCTCCTAGGACACCTTCAGTTAAGGGGTGCAAGTGTTTGTAGGGGTGTCCCTGAATGAAGCAAGAGTAGCGGTGGACTTCACTGTCCATCCAGCCAATTATGAGAGAGCAGCCTGGCTGTCAGGACCAATCTGAAAGCACCTTTCTCCCCCAGCCCCAGGAGTCTAGGGTTGGTCATTTCTACACTGTGCCCCCTGGCGGTAAACTGAGATAAACCTAGAGGGGACAGATTGGAAGATTTTTGAGAACAGCATCCCCTCCTGCCACCCCACCCCCACTCCCTCCCCTCCATGTGGCATGATAGGGTCTGGCTGGGCTGCACTGTCCCTGGAGATTGGCACCAATACTGACTCCCCAACTCTAGGGCTGTCCGAGCTCCTTTGGGGGCATAAACTGGTGCATAGGGGTATCAGACTACCTGGGGTGCAGGGGTTCTGTTAACCGCCCCCCCGAGACTTGCCCGAAGTCCAGGCTGCTCAGGCCAGGTCCCCAGGCAGAGCATTGCTTCCATTTGGTGTAACTGCCCGCCCAGCTGTGGAGGACTGTCACCTTTTGATCAGAGCAATTTTGACATAGTTCTGCCGACATAAATCACCTTTGCTTCTCCGGGTTTGGAGCCAGCAGTTCACATGCCATTTCCAATGGAGATGGGAAGGGAGCTCAAGATCAGAGGGGGGCGGGAGAGGAGTTTTACCATTTATCAAGATATGAGTTCAGGCACCTCATTTCTATGAAAACACTCACAGTGAGTAGGGGATCAGAGATTCTCACAGGCTAACTGTACATCTTCATCGCTAAAATGACAGGTGGGCAAGGCGTCTCTCTGGTCCCTTCCAGCTGACTTTAACATCCCGTTATTTTATGGTGATGGGGCTTGCCTCTTCCCTGAGGTCCTGAGAAGCCCGAGAGGCTGGGCTAGGCTGGGCTGGGCAAAGGGTTGTTTAGGCTCCAGCCAAGGGGCCCTCGGCCTCAATTAGCAACACACCAGGCCGCGGATCGTGGTGGAAAGCTTTATTCATTTCACTCGGCCAAGAACAGAGTTTTCAAGGCGGGGAGGGGCATGGGGGGAGACAGTCTCTCTAGATACAAAAACCGGCTCCTCCCTCCCCCCACCTCAGGGCAGGGCAGCTCGGTTCTAGGACCCAGTGGCCATTCTGTGGCACTGCAGCAAGCAGCTAGAGTCAAGGTGCCTTGGCACACAGCAGACCCCCTAGCTTGCTATGGGGACAAGAAGGTCCAGGATGAGCGTCCCTGGGCCCTGGGAAAATGCTCATCTGTGGCTCCATCACAGGACACAGGCTGACCAGAGCGCTTGCAGCTGCCTGGGCAGCTGGTGCCCATATGACCTATTCGGAGAGCCTGGGGCATGGACCTGTCCTGGCCTCCTCTGCAGCTCTTCATACCACCCGCTCTTGCCAATCATTATGAGGAAACCCCTCTGCTCCAGGGGTCAGGACCAGAGCTAGCCTGTCTCCTGGACAGAGTGAAGGAGGCTGAGCAGGATTGGGGTGTGGGCTTGTCCATTCCAGGGCCCAGCATCTTCCAGTTGTGATGATGGGACATGTAAGAGGTGGGGGCCACTAGAGTCTGGTTAGAGGGTGGTGGTAGGGATTTGGTGGTCCTGCCAGGATTCTAGAAACTTCAGAGGGAGAAGCAGACTGAAGTCTCTCCTCCCTCCAGGAACAAGGGAGCAGTGTGGGCCGGAGGGCCAGAGGAGGGGAGGAAGATCCCAAGGGGCTAGCTGGAATAACTTGGCTCTCGATGGTCCAGAGAAGGCTGGATCCCCGTCCCAACACCCCCAGCACTCCCAGCCATCCCTCCCCATAGACCACACACAGGTCCTGCTGCTTGCCGTTTTTATTTTCCTTGTGACAGACAGACAGACAGCTGCACAGACAGCTGGATGGCTGGGGGGATGGTCAGGACAACATGGGCAATAGGGATTGGATGGAAGGGAAATTTCATAAAAGTCAATAAATAAATAAATACGAATGGGAAGAAGGGCAAAGGCCACGGAGGGGTGGTGGGGACATCCTGGGGCCAGCACAGAGCGCCCACAGCTGCGTCCACTGGGACGGGAGGAGAGCACTAGCTTCAGTGCCCACTGCCTCCAGCCTCTGCCCTCCGCCCTCCTCCTTCCCCTCCTTCCGGGATGCTGGCGGCTGGCCTGCTCACCCCCTCCTGAGTCCTCTCTCCTCCCCCTCCCCCACCTCGCGGCCCTCTCTCACATGCTGCCTTTGGCTCCCTGGCACTGTCTCCACGTCCTGCCCCTGCTTCACTGACAGTCACTCCCGGCCCATGGCCTTGAGACCCTGGGCCCTGCCTTTTCCTCTCTCCAGCCACTCACACCCTCCTCGGACGGTCCTGCCCCAGATGCACTGTCCCCCTCCCCCACCCCCACCACCTTCCTAGAGTCTCCCCTCCGTATCCTTCCGCTTCTTTTCCTCTTCACTTCCCCATCCCCTTCTTGCCCCTCTTCCTGCTCCCGACCCCGCCCAGCCTGGCCAACGGTCTCCCACTCTGGCTCCGGCCGGGGTCACGTCAGCAAAGCCCGGGGCCTCTGTCCCCGCAGGTCCATGAGGTAATAGCCCGGCCGGATGTTGCTGCTGGTGGTGTCCGAAGCCCCGGGCCCAGCCGGCTCAGCGTGGGCCCTGGAATGTCCCGCGGCGTCAGCGGGAACGCGAGTCGAAGCCCGAGGAGGCCGGGCTGCGGTCCGAGCGCTAGGGGCTGCCGGGGTAGGATCGGAGCAGCACCTTGTGACGCGTGGCGGCCTCGGCCCGGCGGCGCCGCTGCTCGCCCAGGAACTCCTTGAGCCGGTTGGTGGTAAAGGTGAGCGTCTGGCGGCGCAGCTTCATCAGGTAGGCGTCCTGCAGCCACGGGTGGGCCAGGCAGTCCTGCAGGGAGGGCCGGCTCCTGCCAGGCGAGCCAGGGACGGTGAGCCTGGAGGGACGGCTCTGCCCTCCCAGGGATCCGTGCCCCAATCCTGGATTCATCCCTAGTGAGTGATATTGGGCACTCTGGGGCTCAGTTTCCCCATATCTGGAATGGGCAGTGACTCTGCGTATGTCAAAGGGCTCTGATGGGCTTTCATTGGTGGGTAGTGCAACCATTTAGGAGCAGAGGTGGCGGCAAGGGAGGAGGTGGGGGATCTTACGGCACTGGCTGGGTCAGGGCAGGTGATACTGTGGGGTTGGCGGGTGTGGGGCCCACTCACCAGGGATGTACTGAGAGGACCTTTCGCAAGAAGAGGGTGGCGCTTTGGGAGGTGTTGGGGTACAGCTGGAAGGCATCGAAGCGGCCCCCCACAATCCGAGCCTCTGTCTCCTGGGGGTCTGGCTCATAGAACGGGGAGCGCCCACTGAGCCTGTGGTGGAGACAGTTCAGCTGACACACGCAGACTGAGGGTCAACTCCCAGGCCCAGGGGGACATCAGTGTGGGGCTTCTGAGGGGCACAGCACTCAGGGACAGGGCTACTGGCACCTGGGTCCACACACACGTATGCGTGAGTGTGTGTGCGCCGGGGGGGGGGAGGGGGAGAGGGTGTAGCCAGAGGGGGTCCTGGGGACACTCACATGATGTAAGTGAGGACACCCACTCCCCAGATGTCCGTGGCAGAGCCGATGGGTTCTCCCTTCACCATCTCAGGAGCTGACAGGAGACAGAGGCCCAGTTGAACCAGCTTTCCGGTGGTGGCAGGGGAGCGGGCAGAGGCAGGGGAGGCCCCTGGGGGCTTGAGGAGCTGGACAATGTCCAGGTCACCAGACCATGAATACAACTGGAACCGCAGGCCCTAGATGCCAGCAGGCAGGGTGGGAGTGGGGGTGGCTCCCAGGGGAGATGTGGGGCACCTGAGGAATGAGCCCAGGCACTGAATGGGGGTGTCCCCAGAACTGTGGAGGAGCGGAGAACAAGGGTCACCAGCTCCCTGGGGTCAGCTCCGAGGTAGGGCGCCCACTCAGAGTGTGGCCAACACCAAGATTAAGAGCCCTTGAAATCAGCCCGGCTGGCTTGAGTCCCAGGCCTGCCCCTTGCAGTGATGGGGCCCTGGGCAATGTACTAAACGTGCCTGGCTCTCCATTGCCTCATCTGTAAAGTGTGGCTTGTAGAATAACTCTACAGAATAGAGATAATGAACATAAAGTATTTAGCAGGTAGCTAAATGGGAGCTGGTTTTCCTTATTTATATAAATTAATAATTGATTCTCCTGTCTTTCCAGCTTCCTCAAATCCTGGCTTTACGTTTATAACTCTGATTTTGGACAAATATTTAGCCTCACTGGGCCTCTGTTTCGTCCTCTGTAAAATAGGAGTACTATCATGCCAATCTCCAGCACTGCTGTAAAGATAAATTGAAAAATATCCATGAAGGGGACTTAGTTCATTGCATGCATACAGTAAGCACTCAATAAATGGTACATGGG